AATCCTCCCAGGATCACAGATACCTCCGTGATGTTCCACAGACAGCTGCTCTCGCCGCATTCTGAGATCCACACTCAGTGCCATGCAGTGTCACACGCACACGCTTGACCTTTCTCTCCAACAGCTTCGCATCACACTGGCTCAGGGCTGCACCTCTCCACAGTTTCACTTCATCCTCTGGCTCATTCGTCGTGCTAACAAGAAACTTCTTCCTTTCCTTTCAGGCATCAAGGGTCACAAGATGCAACAACTCAGAGATATCCATGGCCCTCTGGAACCTTCCTCTCCTCCCTTACCATCTGACTCTATCCCTTGCCCCGACCCCACCTCCTGTCTGGTATTTAGCATCCCTCTTAACTTTCCGCTCTCTGATGCTGAACATTCCTTAATCAGCAAAGGTCTCAGCTTTATTCCTTTGCATCCCCACCTTAATGAACTTTGGGCATGACATGAGGTCGAATTCTTCTTCTGCTGTCTTCGCCTCCGTGCCCATTTCTTTGGACAAGAGACCTCCCCTCGTCCCACAGGCCCCTTCACCCAGCACCAAACTCTCCCTCCACCAGGGACCCGCCCTCTAGCCTTTTACCTGCACTCAATTTGTTCATTGAGAACTGTCAACGTGATATTGGTTGCCTTAATTTCTCTGCCCCCACTCCCTCCCCAAATCTAGCCTATATCTGTCTGAACTGACTAAATTCCATGCGCTCAGATCTAACCCTGACTTTGTTATTGAGCCTGCCGATAAGGGTGGTGCTGTTGTAGTCTGGTGTACTGACCTCTACATTGCACAGGCTGAGTGCCAGCTCTCAGATACCTCATCCTACCTTCCCCTGGACCATGACCCCACCATGACACATCAGGCCATTGTATCAACTATGGTAACTCACCTCATTTCATCTGGTGATCTCCCCCCCAGCGCCCCCACTGCCTCCAAGCTGATAGTCCCCCAGCCCAACTCAGCTCGCTTCTACCTCCTTCCAAAAATTCTCGATCAGTATTGTCCAAACAGACCCATTGTTTCAGCCTGCACCTGCCCCACAGAACTCATCTATTCCTACACTGATGTGGAGGTGCTGGTGTTGGACTGGGGTGGACAAGGTCAGAAATCACACAATACCAGGTTTTAGTCCAACAGGTTCATTTGAAAACACAGGCTTTCTGAGCCTTACTCCTTCTTCAGGTGTTAGTGAGAGAGGTGGTATGAGGCACAGAATTTATAAGTAAAAGTTCAAAGAGTCATCATTGATGTGACCCTTTAATCTTTTACTTATAAATTCTGTGTTTAATACTACCTCTCTCACCAACACATGAAGGAGGAGTAAAACTTTGAAAGCTTGAGTTTTCAAATAAACCTATTGGACTATAACCTGGTGCTGTGTGATTTCTGATTCTTCCTACCTGGACTCAATGTTCTTTCCCCTGGTCCAATCCCTGCCCACAAACATCTGTGATTCCTCGGACACTTTATGTCAGTTTCAAAATTTCCAGTTTGCAGGCTCCAGTCGTCTCCTCTTACAATGGTTGTGCAATCCCTTTACACATCCATTCCACACCAGGAGGGTCTTAGGGCTCTCCACTTCTTCCTGGAGCAAAGATCTGAATCATCCTCACCCACTACTACCCCTCCTCTGCTTAGCTGCGCTCGTCCTCACCCTCAACAACTTCTCTTTTAAATCCTCTCATTTTTTCAGATCAGAGGGGTGGCCATTGGTACCCATGAGGGCCCCAGTTATACCTGTCTCTTCATGGGGTACGTGGAGCAATCCTTGCTCAAGTCCTATTCCGGCCCCCACCCTCAACTCTTTCTCCGATATATTAATGATATCATCGGTGCTGCTTCCTTCTCACGTCCAGAATTAGAAAAGTTCATTAAATTTTGCTTCCAAATTCTACCCTGCCCTCTCTTTCACCTGGTCTCCCTCTGACTCCTCCCTTCCCTTCCTCGACATCTCTTTTTCCATTTCTGGGAATAGACTGGCCACTAATATCCACTATAAACCCACCGGCTCCCACAACTACCTGGACTATACATTCTCGCACCCTGCTTCCTGTAAAGACTCCATTGTCTCCATCTCTGTCGCATACATTCAGATGAGCCCAACTTTGAAAATGTCCACCTTCTTCCTCAACTGAAGATTCCACAGCACTGTTGTTGACAGGGCCCTCCACGGGTCCAATACATCGCCCGCACTTCCGCCCTCACCTCCTCTCTTCCCTGCCGCAACAGTGATAGGGTTTCCCTTGTCCTTACGTACCATCCCATCTGCAAAACATCCAGAAGATCATCTGATGCCATTTCTGCCACCTCCAGTGAGATGTCACCACCAGACACATATTCCCCTCCCCTCCCTTGTCCACCTTCCACAGGGACCGTTCCCTCCGGGACACCCTGGTCCAGTCTTCCTTCACTCCCAACACCCCCCACAGCCCCACGGCATCTTCTCCTGCAACCGGCGAATGTGTGACACCTGCCCATTTACCTCCTCCCTCCCCAGTATCCAAGGGCCCAAACATACCTTCTAGGTGAAAAAACACTTCACCTGTACTGCCCAGAATCTGCTCTACTGCATTTGCTCCCCACAACATGGTCTCTGCTACATTAAGGAAACAAAGAGTAGATTGGGTGACCGTTTCACAGAATATTTATGTCTTGCTTGCAAAAAACTCCCTGAACTTCCAGTTGCTTGCCACTTTAACACACTACCCTGTTCCCTAGACAACATCTCTGTCTCAAGCTTGCTGCAGTGTTCCAGTGAAGATCAGCGTAAGCTGGAAGAACAACACCTCATTTTCCACTTGGGAACATTGCAGCCCTCCGGACTCAATATCGAGTTCAATAATTTTAGGGCCTAAACTCTCCTATGTCCAATCCCCCTGGCCCACACACCAGGCCTTGTTATCACATCGCTATCATATAACTGTACACTACCTATTTTTAGTCACTAACAGTCCCCATTAACAGCTATTCACCCTCCTAGCCAGATTGACATCAACTCCTTTGTCTGACAAACTGCTCTTCTTTCTCTTTGGACTCTATCCTTTATCCTATTGTTTACTCCCTACCCCAACCCCTCCCTGTCTTCTGCATATATTTTCCTAGCTACCGTCAGTTCTGAGGAAGGGTCACCGGACTCGAAACGTTAATTGATTTTCTTTCTTCACAGATTCCAACAGACCTGCTGAGCTTTTCCAGCAACTTCTGTTTTTGATACGCAACAGTTGCCTTCATTAGTCGTGGCACAGATCATAACAGCAGGGAATTTATGTTGGAGCTGTACGGGACTTTGGTTAGACCGCAGCTGGACTACTGTGTGCAGTTCTTGTCACTGCACTTTAGGAAGGATATGATTACACTGGAGGGGCCACAGAGAAGATTCATGAGAATATTGCTGGGGATGGAACAGTTTAGCAATGAAAAGAGGTTGGATTAATTGGGATTGTTTTCTTTGAAGCACAGAAGGCTGAGAGGGATCCTGTTTGAGGTGTATAAGATTGTAAGTGGCATGGACAGGGTGAAAAGAAACTTGATGGGTCAATAACAAAGGAGCATAATTTTCAATCTTAAAGGTGAGAGATTCAGTAGAGATTTGAGGAAATTACTTTTTTTTAAGCAGAGGGTGGTGGGTATCTGGAATGTATTGCTCAGGAGGCTCATTGAGGGACAAAATCTCACAACCTTTCAAAAGTACTTGGCTGAGCATTTGAAATATCATAATATTCAAGGCTATGGGTCAAGTGATGGAAGGTGGGACTCACATAGATAGAGTTGTCATTGTTGGTGCAGATTTGATGGGCCAAAGGGCCTCTTCTATACTTTCTGATTCTATGATCTTTGCACAGCCACCTGTCAAGCCATTTTCTGTAGTATAATATGAGATGTAATCTTAATGATGATGATGCAACTCCGACATCACCAGACCACAGAAGAGCAGAGACAGAAATTTGTAATGGACTCTTGACAAGACAAACATGAAGAAAAGACTGTATTCAATATGTTGTATATCTTAACGTAAATAAAGTGTTTAGCGTGTTAAAGAGTTCAAACTAGGGATGCCAAGGATTCAGAGCAGCAACAGCCTAGTAAAAATGCACAGTATTCAAGAGTGCAAATGTAGACACCCAATACCCTGGAAAACCAAGAGAGTATAGAATCTATAAAGGATCAACTAGCAGGCAAGAATCTGTGGGTGGCACACAACCCATAGATTTAACTGCAGCAGTCTAAGGCATACTTATAGAATTCTTTTAAAGCAACCTCCTCTGCGACCATCATGGCAGCAGGGAGTCATCTATAGAGCCTTTCTGTCTGTTGCATGGGTGCCTGTACACAGTATCATAGAAATGGCACTGACAGTGACTGTTAACATCACTTAAACCCTGACTTTACCTTGGGAATATTGTCAGCATGATGAATTTTTGATCCATGGTGGATAACTTTGGATTGAATGAAGCAAAGAAGTCTCATACCAATTGTACACAGAATAATGTTCATTTTGCCATGAAATTGACTCATTCTCTTACTTGATCTCTCTCTCCTAGCTTTCCACTCAAGGTTTTTTTAAACGTATTTAAATGTGCTCGATTCTAAGGGTTGACAAAATTTACTCCTTATATGACTCCCATTCTTGTGCATATGCAATGCTTCAGGTGGGTTCCTACATATACAAGAATTACTCCAGCTACTCCACAAACAATAATTGACCAATTGACACAATGGCTGTCGGTGCTGTATGATGCTACACGTATGATTTAAATTTCACTGACATCTTGACTTTCTAGTTCCCGCAGTAAGTGAGCTCCCTACAAAATGCCAAAATTGTACTGACCTGTGAATAATTATAAGAAAAGGATGGAACTGGGAAAATTGTGTGCTGTTAGCAAACACTCATCTGACTGAATTTGCATGAACCATATTCCCAGCATTCACAATTTTGCCTTTACAATCTTAATAAGGGCTGAAGTGGTGGATAAAAGAGAACAACCATTTAGTTTTGGCTGACCTCGGAGCTTCCTTGTACTCTGTCCAAGGATCCTTCTCATACCAACTCTGATAAAGAGATTTTCCCTCATAACCATCATCAGGACTGGGGATCTGAAAGGAAGTTAAAAAAGACATTATATTTTTTGCAGTTTACTGTGAGCCTATCTTAGCTATAATATGCCTGTTAATAAATGATAGTGTCAGTAACACCCTTGCTAAAATAAATGTTAATTTATTTTCCAAGCCACATATCACCCTGACCTGGAACAATATCATTGTTCCCTCACTGTCACTGGGTGAAAATCCTGGAGCACCCTCTGTAGTAGCACTTTGGGTGAACCTACACCACATAAATTGCTGTGGTTTAAGGCAGCAGCTCACAACCACTTTCTCAAGGAAAATTAAAGTTGTGAAATAAATGCTGGCCCAGCCAGTGACACCCACATTCTGTGAAAGAACGATAAAGTGTTTTATCACTGGCATTGGAGATCAGCAAGGTACTTTGCTGAATTAGTGGTGAGGGGAGACAACTTAAGTGGAAAGATTTTGGTAAACTTAACAGGCTTGGAAAACTAATCAATTGAAAAACATGGATGATTAACTGGTGGTGGTGAATAGATGTGCATAAGAGCACTCATGGATAGAAAAGGAAAAAAAGGGATAGATTTTGGTTAATTCTTAGGTTTTAACAAAACATGCCTCTTGTGCTCAATGTAAGTGACACATCTTTTACAAACCGACTCCCCATGCATTGGAATGCGGCTTTAGGGGTCACCTATTTAAAACAGAGATTAAGCAAATATTTGTCTCGTAGAACCTCATGAGTCTTCGTATCTTTTTTTTGAAAAGGAGGTGGAAGAAAGTCCTTGAATATTTTAAGGCAAAGGAGGGATAGGAATGAATGCAGATTTGGAGTTACGGTCATATCTGTCACGATCTTATTGAATGGCAGTTGAGTTGAGCAGCTGAAGTTTACATGTACAGTAACCAGCAGTGTAGATTGCCTTAAGGTCAAAAAGAAATTCATGTTACAATAGCTCACTGAATTAACATAAGATTTTCTTGTCCTCAAATAACGAAAGGAAAAATACATTCTATACTGTACTTCCTCAGCTCTAAACAATGAATTGGCTATATTATGTAACAAGGTTAAATGGTGAATTAAGTACAACAGCCTGCATAATTGCAAAATGTTTTCATAATAGTGTTATTTCAAACAGAAATGAAAACACATTCTTGGTGTTTTGACTAAACAGTTGCTATAATTTAAATAAAGGTCTTTCAATCTGGATTATCTATTTTAAATTCAAATGGTTGGCAAATTTTCCACATTTATGATCTGCACTACCTAGGATAATCGGATAAATACAATAATTTTATTGTGGATTATCTGTACAAAACAGCTTATTTGATGAAGGATATTATTCCTCACAAAAAGAAACACTTTAAGCACACAAAAATAAAGTTTTACATTATCTAAAACTAGGCATCAATACTGATATTTAAAGGGTATGGATTTTATTTAGGAGTGCACAGATGAATGGGATAAGCAGACATCCTAAAACTCACAATATCAATCAATGGTAGTTGACAATAAAGTTGTGGCCAAATTTAAGCATTAACGTGTATGTTGCTGGATCCTGGATACAAATGAGTCATTGTTTGATCATAAAATTAATCAAGAGAGTGCATTTCAAGAACATGATCATTATCTGTCACGGCAGCCTTTTTTTACTGGCCAATGTGAAATAAAGGGATATTTCACTGAACCACTGTTATAACATGTGCTATGGGTTTTATTGGACCTATTCTACTTCAACATGGGCTCTTGAGGCACAGTAGTAGCATTCGTACCTCTGAGCCAGGAGAATCAGGTTCAAGTCCCAAATGCTTCATGGAATGTGAACGTTAGTACTCTCAATGCCTTTAGAGAGAGATAGGCGCTGTGGGGGATACAGTGCTTTATTTCCCCCCAACTCCATTTGGATTAGTCCTTTCCTGGTCTCACTATCCCATCCTCATCCCCCCACACTCCCTTTCACCTTTGATGGTTTGCTTTGCCCATAATGGACTTTGCTTGTAAATATTCAATTGGATATCTAGTAATTGGAATAATTTGTCTCACTGATAGCCACAGGTGAGGTGCCGGAAGGTTGGTTAACATGGTGCCACTATTTAAGAAAGGTGGTAAGGAGAAGCTAGGGAACAATAGACCGGTGAGCCTGGCATCAGTGGTGGGCACGTTGTTGGAGGGAATCCTGAGGGACAGGGTTTACGTGTATTTGGAAAGGCAAGAACTGATTAGGGACAGTTAACATCGCTTTGTATATGGGAAATTGTGTCTCACTAACCTGACTGAGTTTTTTGAAGAGGTATCGAAGAGGATTGATGAGGACAGAGTGATGGACATGATCGACATGGATTTCAGTAAGGTGTTTGACAAGGTTCCTTGTGGTAGACTGCTTAGCAAGGTTAGATCACATGGAATACAGGGAGAACTTGCTATTTGGATACAGAACTGGCTCAAAGGTAGAAAGCAGACAGTGGTGGTGGAGGGTTGCTTTTCAGACTGGAGACCTGTACCAGTGGTGTGCCACATGGATTGGTGCTGGGTCCACTGCTTTTCGTCATTTATACAAAGGAGTTGGATGACAACATAGGAGGTATGATTAGTAAATTTGCAGATGACATCAAAATTGGAGGTGTAGTGGACAGTGAAGAAGATTACCTCAGAGTACATCAGATGGGCCAATGGGCCTAGGAGTGGCAGATGGAGTTTAATTTAGATGAATGTGAGGTGCTGCACTTTAGAAAGGCAAATCAGGGCAGGACTTATACACTTAATGGTAAGGTCCTGGGGAGTGTTGTTGAACAAAGAGGTCTTGAAGTGTAGGTTCGTAGTTCCTTGGAAGTGGAGTCACAGGTAGATGAGATAGTGAAGAAAGCATTTGGTATGCTTGCCTTTCTAGGTCAGTGCACTGAGTATAGGAATTGGGAGGTCATGTTGCGGCTGTACAAGACATTGGTTCAGCCATGTTTTGAGTATTGCGAGCAATTCTGGTCTCCCTCCTACAGGAAGGATGTTGTGAAACTTGAAAGGGTTCAGAAAAGATTTCAAGGATGGTACCAGGGTTGGAATGTTTGAGCTATAGGGAGATGCTGAATAGGCTGGGTTTATTTTCCCTGGAGCCTTATGAAAGGTTTATGAAATCATGAGGGGCATGCATAAGGTAATTAGGCAAGGTCTTTTCCCTTGTGTGGTAGAGTAATTCTCCTGACAGCTTTTGGACTCAGCTTTTTCAATTATTAGCAGCCTAATGTTTCCTGAGGTGCCAGACAGCAAAACCTTTCAACAGTTGATGGATTTAGCCAAGGAATATTATGATCCCCAAGCCTCCTCTAATTCTGAGGTGCTAATGGTTTTACTCAGCAGTTCAAGAACCAAGGAATCTGTATTTGTAGTTTTGGTGAGATTAAGACAGTTGGCCGAGGCATGTGATTTTGGTTTAATCCCTAATGAGATGCTGAGAGACCATTTTGTGGGATTAATGATGTGATTATGCAAAAGTGCCTACTAGCTGAAGCCCAACTGGATGTCACTATAACTGGCTTTGTCATTAGAAACTGCAGCAAGGGGAGCATATGAGTTACAGGGTATGCTGATGGAAGTGGGCATCCTTGCCAGGCTGATTGATGTTGGGGGTCTTACTTGAGTGAAGGTAATCGCATAGCCTCAAACAGGACATATCCTGAACTGAGGGAGTCTAGGTCAGTCCACAGCAAAACTCAAAACAAAGCTAAGCCTGAGCCAAACGGTTAAAATTTTCTTGAGGATCCAAGCCAGCAAGCCATTTTAGTTACTGCCAGTATGCAGACTTGAGTCCCACTAGGCCTGGACTGAGTAAGAGAACTCATAGAGTGGTATCCAGGAGAGTGTACACCCTGGAAAGTGTACAGCCGGTTTAGATATCCAAATCCAAATATCCAAATCAGAACCAATCAATGTAAGCATCTGGTTAAATAGTCTCCCAGTTCTAATACAGGTCAATACCGACGTGGTTGTGTCAGCAATTGCAGAACCAGTCTTAACCAAGCTTTGCTTGGGATTCTGACCCTTAAGTTTGTGTAAGGCCTCAGTCAAGCTGAGAACCTATACTGGGGAATCTTTACAGATTAAGGGTATAACTTCAGTTCTGGTCTCTTATGAGAAGCAGATGGTCCAGTTATGACTGATTGTAGTAAAAGGCTTGGGCTCAAGCTTGATGGGACAAAATTGGTTGAGAAAGATTTAACTTGATTGGCTCAATACTTTTTTTGCTTAGAAAACAGCTGCCTGTGTGAAGTCCTAATTAAATCCTAAATTAGTACATTTGCGGATGACACAAAGGTTGGTGGAATTGCGGATAGTGATGAGGACCATCAGAGGATACAGCAGGATATAGCTTGGTTGGTTACTTTGTCAGAGAGATGGCAGATGGAGTTTAATCCAGACAGATGTAAGGTAATGCATTTCGGAAGGTCTAATCCAGATGAAAAATATACAGTAAATGGCAGAACCCTTAAGAGTACAGATAGGCAGAGGGATCTGGGTGTACAGGTACACCGGTCACTGAAAGTCAACAAGGCATACGGCATGCTTGCCTTCATCGGCCGGGGCACTGAGTCTAAAAATTGGCAAGTAAGGTTGCAGCTTTGTAGAACCTTAGTTAGGCCGCATTTGGAATATTGTGTTCACTTTTAGTCATCACACTACCAGAAGGATGTGGTGGCTTTGGAGAGGGTACAGAAAAGATTTACCAGGATGTTGCCTGGTATGGAGGGCATTAGCTACGAGGAGAGGTTGGAGAAACTTGGGTTGTTCTCATTGGAATGGCAGAGGTTGAGGGGCAACCTGATACAGGCCTACAAGATAATAAAGGGCATGGACAAAGTAGACAGTCAGAAGCTTTTTCCCTGGGTGGAGGAGTCAGTTACTAGGGGCCGTAGATTTAAGGTGCGAGGGGCAAGGTTTAAAGGTGATGTACGAGGCATGTTTTTTACACAGAAGGTGGTGGGTGTCTGGAACTCGCTGTTGGGGGAGGTAGTGAAAGCAGATACGATAATGACTTTTA